GAGAGAGAGAGAGAGAGAGAGAGAGAGAGAGAGAGATGGGATCTTTCCAACATGGCTTTAGATAAGTGGAAAATAGGAGCATTCGATAAACCAATGGGAGGAAATAGATTGTTGGATTGATGGATAGACACATAGATAGACAAGTAGGTCGAGATAGGTGCATTTGATTTATACATGGATAATGGATAAACAGATCTATCACTCGGACCGATAGATAGATGGATAGATAGATGGATAGATAGATAGGTAGATAGATAGATAGATAGATGAGATAGATAGATAGAAGATCTACTGATCGATAGATCAATTGATAGATAGATAGTCACATCATGAATGGATGCATAGATAGATCGATCGATTGATCGATCGATAGATAGATAGAAGGATGGATAGACAAATCTATAGATAGATAGATAGATAGATAGATAGATATATAGAAGGATGGATAGACAGATCTATAGATAGATAGATAGATAGATAGATAGATAGATAGATAGATAGATAGATAGATAGACAGATAGAAGGATAGATAGATAGATGGATAGAAGGATCGATAGACAGATCTATAGATAGATAGATAGATAGATAGATAGATAGATAGATAAGCAGGATGGTTGTTTTTAAATCGCGACAGCATACCTAGCGAGATAGATAGTTAAATAGGTAGATAGATAGGTAGGTAGATAGATAGATAGATAGATAGATAGATAAGGAGGGCGGACTTTTAAAATCTCTAGAGCATACCTAGCGGACACCGTACAACTGGAGATGATGGCAAGAGAGGCATGGACGTGGCTTTTCCCTGCTCTGACACGCGGCCAGGTTAGTATAAGGAGGAACACCGACAAAGGTGGGGTTTATTGACGGGGTGGAGTTCTTTCCAACGGCCCTAATGACGAGGCAGTACGAGAGAAAAAGAGCTAGTATGTTATAATGAAGACGAGCGGCTTCTGGGCTTGGCTGCGACACGTGGCACAGCACTAGCGAGGGAAGAAGACGAAGAATAAGGCAGGTATACGAAGTAGGTGATAACAATCAGGATGATGAGGAAGGAGGACGACAAAGAAGACTACCGTCTTCACCCGAATAGAACGCCGAGTCATTACAGCTATTGGGGCAACGTTCACTCTAGATACAGCTATAATGGGCGGGCGTTGAATTCGGATGAAGACGGGTTACACGATAATCACAAAGAGAAGAGAGAGAAAATGGAAAAGAAAAAGAGAAGGGAAGGGGTTTGACCGGCGACCTAACACAGGTTTAGAAGATCAGGGCCTTGCAGATCTCAACAAAAGCAGGGCCCAAAAATCACCTAATTTGGCCCAATTTGTCACCTAATTTGGCCATTTTGGTAGGTATAAGGACTCCCGCTTGACTCCCCCCACATGTGAACTTGTGTGAACATGGACGGGATGCTGCATTAATGGGGTTCCACGCAAGAAGAGAGAGAGAGAGAGAGAGAGAGAGAGAGAGAGAGAGAGAGAGAGAGAGAGAGAGAGAGAGAGAGGGTGGATGGTTGATGTACCTACTTGATGAGTAGACCTTGACCGTCTTCCCCGCTTCGCTGTGTCTTCTGTCTCCTTGGCAAGCTCACCGGTCCTCGCTTTCCGCGCTCTCCTTTCTCTTATGATTCTCTTTCTGTTTCGCTGTCCCTGGCTCCTTCTCCCTCCTCTCTCTCATCTTCCTCCTCTCTCTGGTCTTCTCTCTCCCCGCCTTTTCACCAGCGCGGAGATATGTCCCTGTCTCTTATACACATCTAGATGTGTATAAGAGACAGGGATGGGGCCGGGGAGGGGGGTTTTCCAAAAGAGACATTCCAAGTCTTCTGACCCTGGGCCAATCGACTGCCTGCCTCCCTCTTTTTTTGTTGACAACAACGCCATGTACTCGTCCTAGGACTTGTACCAAGGACCCTGGTTCCTGGTTGCAGTCACATGCATCCTGAAAGTCGCTTTTCGCAAAATTGTGCAATGGAGGAGTCGCCGGAAATGCATTGCCATGAATAGATGAAGTAACACATACTGCGTTCTGGTCTGTATTCATAGCTATCAATCAATAAATAAAGACCTTGCGCAGGGCCCAACCTTATCTTTATCCTTTGTCGATTTTTCTGCATCAGTCACCAACAAATTCGAATGGCTGTGCTGTGATGTCTGGAAGGACGACAGCTTGCTTTGTTTGTCGGAAGCTCCCCCATGACAAGTCTGTTGTAATTGAACGCCGGCTTTCGGTGAGTACACGTCAGCTTTGAGGCCACACAGTCATCATACTCGGACTTTCCTGGATGAATTTGACCAGATTTACCGCCCGTATTCCTTGGAATGAACCCCTTTCGTGAGGGGGGTAAGGGCCCCCCTCCCACCCCTTCTTCCCCCCTAACTCTGCCCCACTTCTTCTCCCTCTCCTCCCCGCCTTCCTTTATGTACTCAGACCAACCGGATGGGTTGGTTTTGTTAATTGATGGTCATCATAGTCTCTTTCCCCAAATTGTCCCTTTTGAAAAGTCAAAGAGGCGGCGATACCACGGCTGCCCCTTCGTCGACTTCTGGCTTGCCGCTGGCCCCCGTGCCAGATGAACCCGCCAAACTGAGGAATCGATCTCCTGCCTTCTGGAACTGTTTGCCATAATTCACGAAAAGTGAATGGAAATACATACATACCAGCGCGATGATCAGGCAGAGAATATGGAGAGGGAAAGTGTACTTCTGGAGTTTGCGGTCAGTTACGCAATGGATCTTCAGGCAGCTGAATTCAGAGCCGATGAAGAACATAACAATGGTGTTTACGATCACTGCGAGCCACTGGAGGCTCTCATGGATGAGAAATACCAATGATGGGTAGGACCAAAAACAGGGCATATAAGGGAGGAGCTTGTCGGCGGAGACAGAGACGGGTTGGGCTTCACCCGTGGTTTCTCTTGCGCGACGGGGAATGCTGGGGGAGGCAGTGGCAGGCAGCGGAGGGCCGCCGCGCGGATCTGCCCCCCCCCCCCCGCCCCCGCCCCCTCCTGGCGGCTGATCTCTGCCATTCTTCTTGTTACGACGGCAGAAGCCGCAGGTGAAACACAACCTGAACCAGTTCCAGCGCCCGCTCCCGCTCATGGCCGCACTGGTCGTGTCCGATCGCCCTTGCGCGCCTGTTCCGGTCGGGCCATCTGCCGCAGCTGCGGCTGCCGTCGGGATGGTCACGATCAGCGCCCCTCCTGCGCTCCCCACGGGCGCCAGAGCTGCCTTCACAACCATCGCCAGCGCCACCAGGAAGACAGAGTAAATTAAACTGACAACAATGATGCAAACGTGGAGGACAGCCGGATACATGCGTCCACCCCGATGGCTCAACAAACATTACAGCCACTGTTCTTCTCTTGACTCCTGGAGGTTTTGAACGCATCATCTGTTTCTTCGCAAACGAAACGGGAAACACTGTGGCAGTCTGTCGTCGTCTTGAGTTGAGGACGATTCCAACGCATCATCGGCTTGTTGCCAAGCGAATCGGAAAAGACTGAGAAGACTGAGAGACTGAGGCAGCAGCATCAAACGTGCAGGAGGACGTGATGCATAGATCCGTCAATCCAGATGGCTCAGCAAACATTAAAAAAAATAAAAAAATTACACCCGCTGCTTCCTTTGGCTCGAATCGTCAGGGTCGTGCGGGATTCAATCTCACGGTCTGTCTATTGACTTGACAGGCGCGATGCTGCGACCACTTGGAGCAGACGTTGGAGTAGCAGCAGGGCATCCATGCGTCCCAACCCAGGTTTGGCTCAACGATCATCGCAGTCACTATTTTTGGCTTGAACTTGAATCTGCAGGATTTGAACTCGTGATCCAGTTGCTGCATGTGTGTTACCATTCAGTCCACGATTGGAACCATGCAGCTCAGCTCAGCCACAACAAGCGGCAGGTTCCTTCTACTCGACATGCTAATTAACTCACCAATTCACTCTCAATCGCTTCAACCATTCAGAGTTGAGGGCAGGGCAGGGCAAGGATTGTCACGCGTGCAGAATGGCAATCGGCCAGTGGCAGAGAAGCCTGCGCCCCCCCGAGAATGAGTACTCACCCTCACATTAAGTCAGTCTCTCTCGCTCTGACTGGTGTCAGAAAAGCAGCCTGTGCAGTCAGCATCATGTGACAGTCACAACGACGTCGCCTTGCTGCTGGGCTGACTGATACAACGAGCGAGGGGGGTGCGCATAGTCACTCACACCTCGATTTTCTGTGCCGTGTCTGACGGTAATGACGACGATATTCACGCCTCAACTTTCTGCGTGACGATATAGGGTAGTAATGACAACGATATGGAATCTATCGAATCGAAAGAGTACACAAATCTGTGGACGAACAGCCCTGACTCAGTTGGTACTCAGTTGGTACACACGTGGCCTGTTGAAATGCAGGCCTCAGTTCGATTCTTTTTAATTTTTCTTTTCAGGTTACTTGGTAGGGGTGCTGATATGAGCAGACACGAATCTCAATCAACTCAGATGAGTAAATAACTCAGAAGGGTATAGGCGGAACTAAGCCAATCGGCATGCGAGCGTGACAGCTTGGTCCGTGGGCCCCAAAACTGGGACCTCGCTCACCCCAGCCCGTCCTGGGAATCGCGAGGGATTCTTCGCATATGTATGATTGGCCTCGCGGGCTGTCCAGCAGCAGCCAACCCACACGTCCTGCTGGACTGGACCTCCCTACAGACCAAGGTCAAAGGAAAAGAGAAAAAGAGAAAAAGAGAAAAAGAGAAAAGAGAGAGAATACCCTCCTGACTGGGGGCCATACATGGGGTAAAATGGGGTAAAACAAGGGCGAAGCGTTTGCTTATCGCCTGTCCGCTTCCGCTACGTCAAGAAGATTGAGGGCATACTCACACTTCAGAAAAGAAAAGAAAAGAAAAGAAAAGCGGCAAGCTGCGAAGAACGGTCGTAATAGCTGGCCAACGGTCGTGGGGGAAAGACGGCGACCAACAACAAGTACGGAGGGCCTCGCGGCCTCCGGGGCTTTGTAGGTCCCACTTACACGAATTATGCGATATTGACCGTAGATAGCAATGATCAACGGCCAGCTTCTCGTAATCCGTGCAACTGGGACCTTGTCCCCGGGGTCCGTGGAGAGCGTACCACTCCCCCGAAATCACTTTGCCCGCGTCCTTTCACGGTCCGCTGCTTCGACGCGCGCAGAGCAGATGGCAGCAGTCTAGCGCGGGAGTGCGTGTCGCGGGCTTCTGCGCGCGCGGACCCGCGCACACGCATACAGTCGTCGATGAGGGTCCGACTGAAGAATTTGTCTGCCTCAGTCATTCTTTTCGGGTGAGATTGAAGACTTCTATATCGCGGACATGACTACACGCGCCCGAGCAGTCAGCTTTTTTTGTCGGGTCGTGTGTGGCAAACATGACAACACACTCAACGAGCATGAGAGATTGATACAGTGTCACTTGATTTGATCCAATGGCAACTTGGCTATCTGGCAGAGGAGGATTGATTGGGTAAAAGGTGCGCACGTTCCATCTTCGTGTATTCCCCTAGGTGATCTGGCGGCGAGCGATTCCTTCCGATCCCGTTCTCTTCTGGCGGCCCGCGACGCGAGAGTGAGTAGCTCGCCCACCGTCTTCCGTCCGCCTCCCCCCC